ATTGAGAACTCTTCCTCTGCTGAGCCACCATATATCTGTGTGTAACAGGAGACGTATGTGCTCTTTGTCCAGGTTTTCACACAGTTTTTTTAAAACATTCTTGAGTGAACTGGTCTTTGTTCAATAAAGTTATCCATTTTTGTAGCATCATCCAGAACTTTTTTCATTTCATCTCCAAGAGTTTTTGACACCAACACTTCTCTATGAACAAAGCAGTGCGCTATGCAACATCATTCTTACACGAGAAATGAAGCCTGTCACAGAGCCAACCATTGATGGAGCACCATCAGTACAGATGGCAACACAGTTTCTCCAAGACAGACTTTTTGTTTCCAGATATGAAGACAAAACTTTAAATACATATTGGTCTTTGCATGTTTCATGTAGTTCTTTGCAGCAGAAAATGTTTTATTGAATTTCACCATCATTTACAAATCTTACAAATGCCATAACATGACATTTATTGGTGAAATCTGTTGACTCATCAACTTGGATAGGAAAGCTGCTGTTCTTCAGTTTATCATATAAAACTTCTGCATCATGTGATATCTCATCAGTACACTGACTTATTGTACTGTTTGACAGTGGAAACTTTTCCATTTCTTGTACTGTATCCGGTCCTAGCATTTTCCCCACTATTATATTACATGCTGGCATGATTACTCTCTCACTGAAAGCATGACTTTTACTTTGCTGTGTAGTAAGTTCTGCTACTAAATAACTTGCTTCTTGGGCTTTTTTATTCTGTTTGTCTTATTCTTTTTTTTTTTACTATGTTCTGTGATTCTAATAGCTTTTTAAAACAATCAGAACTTTTATTTGTCATAGGGCTGTGATTTGTAGTTAAGTTTTTTTTAAAAAAAATTTCCTGGAGCTATTGCTGCATTTGTAAATTGTTTGCCACGGATGAGGCACAACAGAATAGGACAACCTGGATCACCAGTCCATGTAAAACCATTGATAAATAGCTTTCATTGTAAAGACGGATTTTTTTTTTTTAGTCCATTGATGTACCGGTGCAGGGAAATGCTTCAGAAGATTTAAATTCTTCATTATCATTGTCATCATTAAATTTATTGGTATTGTCCAATCTAGAATCCTCCTCTTCTCTCTCACACCTCCACTTCAAAAATTACCACATTGGACCCTCAGATATGACTGAATAAACATGTACAAAATATATTTAAAATAACAGGATAAAATAATTACAGGAAAATCATAGCGAAAAGATGCAGGATGGCGAGGCTGATGTCACAGACTAAGTTGAATGAGTCCATTAATTTCTTGAAAAATGCACTTCTCTCTCCCCTTCCTTCAATGTATTCCTCCCTTCCTGCAATATAGCATTCACCTGTTATCAATGGTCTCCCCTATCTCATGTCAAAAATTAAGAATGGATTCAATGAAATAAACGCAGTCTTACAGTACACTACCCGACAGCTCAGAAAGAGTTGTAACTAGATTTTTGTTCAGTCTCTGCTCATCACTACGAGAGTGTGTTGCCAGAATTTGAAATAATTTTTAAAATAAGTCATGATCTCCCAGAGAACTCCTAGTGACCTCTCAGAACCCCAGAGTTCCATGGAACCCTGGTTGAAAAACCCTGTTGTAATGGTGAATTTTCTTTTATTTATTGTTTGTTTTTTATGCTGTACATAAAAAACCCAGGGTCACACTGTTTGAGTTGTGCAGACTTCTAGATCTTGAAAATAAATAAAATAAAATAAAATAAAAGCTTCTGCTTTGTTTATGAGCCTCATTTCTACAAAATAATTCAACCAGAGCACAAAACTGATAAAGTGAGGCTGAGTCTTTTTTTTCTCCTCATCCATGGACAAAACTTTAGCTTGTTCTAGATAGGCATTTTTATATATTATATATGTGAACACACATATATTGTATATGTGTACATGTATGTTTATTTATAGACGTGTGTGTGAATATTTATTTATTTCACATCAATTTTGTGTGTGTGACTCTCCATTCTTCTGCTTAGATCATAAACCTAGATTCATAATATTATGACTTGAAAGAATGTAGAATGCTGTCTTACTCTTCCACAATATTATAGAACAATCGCAGTACCCTAGAAAGTTTATAGAAATAACAACTTACCATGTAAACGTTATACTGCTTTGCAAATTTTCCATTTCTGCCTTTCAAGAATCTGCTTTTGTTCATTTAGTTCAAACATTGATAGAAAATACTTTCTGGATTCACAGAGAAGACTAAACTATAATGTACAGTTGTAAAACTTTCTATTGAGATCACTCAGGCAGAAGAATCTATAAGTAGCAATTATAGCAGCCCTTTTCAATTTGCCAAATGTGGATTAAAATATATGCCCAAGCGTAAGGAGTAGTGTTTCCAACAAGATTTTATTTCATACTTAATAAATAATTTTTCTGACATAGTGTTCTGTAGATAACCTTTCAAACTAATCTCCCTAATCATTTTTCTTCATATATTTAGCAGTTACAGCCGGCAGAGGATATTCTATGAAATAAAGCTGAACCTTGAGAGAAATGGTGGTAGTGCAAAGCAGAGCCTTGTCAGCTACGGCATGTTGGTTATGGTCACCTTTCTTCTAGTACCATCAGATCTTACTTTTATTTTGTAGCTGCTGAATATCTGATGATTCAATGCTGCTTATGGTTTACCATTTTCTTTGCTGGCTTATTGTTGTACTATAGTTTTATTATTTACATTCTAAACTGAGAACCATTGACGTGGGTGGATTGGAAATATTTATTAAATAGATACAAAATGAATAAAATAATGTAATGGGGGTGGAGGAAATGAACCAGCTGGAGGAAGTAGGGTGTTCATAACCTTCTTTCCACATGCGGTGGCTTATTGACCACAAGTTCTAAAGTTTGCAATGATAGTTTTGATGGGGCCACCAAAATCTAAAAGATTCTGGAATATAATAATTTTGCTTTGGTAGCAACAAGAGATCTGCCTGCCTTCCATCATTTTCATTAAGCTGATTTGCGGAAAACATCTTGATATCTCAGGACAACAGAGAATCCAACTGTCTGGACTTCTCTGAGTTCACATCAGGGCAACTTTCTCAGGATGGTTCGGGCAATGGAAAAACAGTTACAACAAATGCAATCCAAGAAGTACATTACCTAACTCACCAAGGTTAATATAGTCCTTGAATTAGATATTAGGACTGGGCAATTTTTATTATCATTGTCTTCATGAATACTGTATTATTTGCTTTGTGCCTTTATAAGATGGTATGATAAAAATTAATTAATTATTAGGAGCGAGTCTCTCTCATTTGATCTTTTTATGGCTTCTTCTTTTGACAAGAAAGAAAGAATACTTGGGGAAAAAGGACTTAATTAGTTTTCTCCCCTTCTTGAAAGGCAGCATGCAAGCAACAATAATAAAGAGAATATTAGAAAGTCAGATGCATTAACTGAGACTTACTTTGCTTTTGCTTCAGCATCCTCATATGCTTTATTGGAAACATCATCCAGGCCTCCAATCAAATGTTTGAAAGAGCTGTAAAATTAAGGCACATATTAAAGAAAACGTTTCTGGTATAATTGAACATTCCCTGTTAAGTAAGATCTGCCTAAGATCTTATAAAATACTATTACAAAACATGCAGATACACCACAAATAGATTGTCATGTCAATGATTTTGATTCAATGCCTACCTCCCATAAACAGAAGGATCCCATTTGGCCATGGAATCATTATTAATATTGATTCTATTTCTATTTTATTCATTTATTGTATTTATATCCCACCACAACCAACTGCCACTAGTGCTGAAAGCATGTTTTCATTCTTCTACAAAATATCAAGTTCAGCTTCCATCCATTGACCAATATACTGTAATGGTGGAAAGTTCATATCTAATTAATTAACTTATAACTTATAACATATTACAAAGAAGAAATGAAAAAAGAATGGATGTGCATCTGACAAAATTAGCTTTAACAGGTAAATTGAAGAATTAGTTGCTAATACTGCTAGACAAAATAGGATGCTTTTAAATATCAAGTATTAGAGAAATGAATTATCAGCAGATGATCAGTTCTCAACTATCACATTTTTCAACATGAAGAAGAAATGAGGAAATGAAAGGAATATGGACCAGAAACATCAGTTCTTAAGGTACAGAGAAAACTAAACATGTCCTCAGATTGAACATGCTTGCTGGTAACTACATCCATGCGAGCTTTGGGGCAACAGGTTATGGAGGTAGCTTACCATTTCAGGTAATGCTGTTCATTTCCCAGGCTACTCATAATAGTTTCACAAGAGGTAATGAACCAAGTCCTCATTTACTCAGAAGAAAAGTTTAATACAGCTGACTTCAATGTAAATGGCTAGAAATGGAACTAAATTAATCAGCAACTCTCTGTAGTGATAGGTCTGTATTAATATAGCTTATTGCTTGGTCCTATTCAATACTCGACTCTAAAATGCAAAACCATAGAAAAAGGATTTAATAACTTTCGATTTTATGTAGTTATAGAATACAGAATTGCATCCTTCTTCAATACCTTCTCTAGCCATTCATTTGTATTTCCTGTGCTACCTGTCACTCATGCCTCATAATTCTTATGGGATTTTTACACCCGTAAATAATGTGCATTTCAGCAATATTAAACCACACATCAAATAACATTTTCATCATCATCATGATCATACAGAACATTACAGTTAGCTAAAAATATATGATAATGATAGGGAGCTCCAAATAAAGATACTGAGAATTTGTTTTCACTTGTATTTTAATTGTATTAGTTTAACTGTTTCAGATTTTCATACTGCAATTTTATTTAACTATCAGGAAAATGATGCAGGAAAAAAGTTGTTTTTATAAAGTTTGGATTTTTTTTAACAAACAAATATAATAAATAATTAAACTTGCAACAATTTAACCTTTTGTCTAGATAGCACAAACTACATTTATTTTTACCTTTTCAGATAATCTGCTTTTCTATTGTACTTACAGAGATTAACCTTGAAATAAAATGCTTGACAACTCAAAATACTTTCCCTGATGATCTGAAAGGCATGCTTTATTGGTGAGTCTCCTTACAGAAGCAGATAGAAGGGAAAAGAAAACAGTGGTGTGTCAAGGGTGAAATTTCTGTGATTCAGTCTACTGGGGTACAACAGTTTGATCTGCTTTTCTAAGAAGAAGAGCTTTAAAAGCTATTTTTTTACATGCTAGCCTTTCCCCATAAAATATCTCTGCTTTTGCACTGTATTCTGAATGTTTATGATGATGCCATGTATTATATGTTGTTGGACATTATTATGATCACTGTTTACTGCTTTTAATCTTTTATGAAATTTAGTCTCCTAAATTATTATATGTGCTGATTGGATTCCTTTGTTAACTGCCATCAGCTGGCTTTGCCAGGAGCATGAAGTATCCAAATATGATAAACAAATGAACTAATCAGGTAATTTAAAAACACAATGTACCAAAATATCAGACACCTCATAGTGCTAGATTATCCTCCAGGCAGTGATGTTTAACTGTACACTGGACTAGACACCATGGTTGGCCATTATGCCTCCTGATAGAAACAGTACTAAAAATTGTCCTTTTTGCACTGGGACCTGATTGAGCAATTTTCTTGGATCCGGAATGGAGTGCGTGTGTGGGGAGAGGAAAGGGGGGTTGTTTTTGTTTTTGCATTCCTTAATGTTAATTTAAGCTTTTCCTGTCAGTTCTGACCCCAAAGTTTGTGACCTGGCTCCAACTCCTGGCTTGTGCCCTCAACTCTGATTCTCTGGCTCACTTTTTACAGCTGCTGACAGTTCTCTTTATCACAAAGTGCTCATTACGTGCTGTTTACTGCATCTTTGTCTGACTCACTGCTCTTTCCAAAAAGTGCATCCAAGTGAACAATCCAATTTTTATGATACAGGCTTGCATCACAATTACCAACTCTCCTTAGAGAAATTTTCAACACTGCCCTCAGCGATAGTTCAGTGGTGTACTACTTTAGAGCAAACATTCTTTTTATTCTTTCTGACCTCACTGAATGTTAGAAAAAAATTATGCAGAGGGGATTGAGATTGTATCTGTCTTGAACAGAACAGGACCAAATTTGGTATGGCAGGAGAAGCCTACGAAAGAAGGTGGAGTTCAAACTTTGGCCAGATCAGCCAGTGGGATTCTGAGAACAAAATCCTCCTGATGCACCCCTAAGAGGGAGGTGTTTTCCAGTTGTTCCTTCTGAGCTCCCCTCCCTCCTTCTTCCTGGCCAAGAACAGAGCATTTGCAATCCACCCATTCTTCATTACACACACGCACACAAATACAGATACCTCCTATAAACACTGTGGGTAAAGAAGTCGGAAAGAATTCCAGAAGCCATGCTCTGCAAATATGTCATGGGATTTGGAACTGTCTGTCCTTCTGTGCATCAGCAAGATAATTCTTTGAAAACTGAACAGCACAGGCCCAAATTTAGTGTGTGGGAAGAAGCCAGCAAACCACAAATTTGAGTTTAAAAATGAGCCAGATGAGATTGCAGAGAAAAAAAAACATTTAAAAATCGAACCGTATGGGAAAGGCAGGTGTGCAGCAGTTCAGAAGGTAGGCAACTGCTCCAGTCTAAGCCCACCTTCTTCCTGTCTTTTTGTCATGTGACCCACAACAGATCATATGTAGCCATCCTGTGCTTCCCAGTAGACACTTGCATAAAACAATATGGCTGCTGCTGGTAAACGGGTTGGAAAGAATTCCGCAAGTCAAGCTCTACGTGTTTTTGCTACTTCTCTCTCTCTCTCTCTCTCTCTCTTTGCAAAGAAGTTAATACATTTTCTGAAAGTAAATCTTGTAGGTTATAAGAGCAATGTGTACCTCCATTTTTTAGGAAAGAAATAACCATGCCCAACTGAGGAGAAAACTGAAATGGAAAAGACTTTCTCATCATTTAAAAGATAGGAGCCAAGTAGCTTTCAGAACACGCTTTCACGATAGCCAAAGCAATACGCAAGAAAAAACCTGTCAAGAAATTGAGAAAAATAACAAGAAAAGGAAACTATGTGATATTTTAAAGACAATCAGCAAAACCACAAGGAATTTTACAGCTCAGGTAGCAGTAGAATAATCAAGAAAAAGACTTAATAAAAACAGATGAGATTAAAGAAAGATGGAAAGACTACATTGAAATATATACAAGGGGATAACAAAGTGACTGAAACATTAGTATAACAGTTAAAGTGCTAGCAGCTCTGTGTCATCAAGGATGGAACAAGACTGCATCTGTTTTCAGCACAATTGACTAATAGCATCTTTGTAACATCACCCACTCATCAATAAAAGATACAAAGCTAATCCTCATTATTGTTATTTTGGCACAACAATGGTTGGATGACTCTAGATGTTCTAGATGCTCTTAGATGCTCTAAGACACAAGTGTGTGTTCTAGCAATTGGAAGAGATTGGTGTATATACCTATAACAAAGAAGGGAGATATAAAAGAATATGCAAATAACCATACCTTTGCACTAATTCCTCATGCAAGCAACGTTTTGCTTAAGATCTTATAAAGAATAGAAGAGAGAAGGGAGAGAGAAATGCCAGATGAAAAGGCATGTCACAGAAAAGGCAAAGGAATGTGAGATCAAACAGCTGACATAGGATGGCTTATGAGAGAAAATAAGGATGTTTATCTTTGCTTTATTGATAACTGTAGGTCATTCCAGAATGTGTTAGGGGTAATGGGTGTACCAGAACAACTGGTTATTCTTTTGAAATAGCACTTACAACAATTTGAAAAATCAAAGTGGTTCAGAATAGGAAAGGAAGTGAGACAAATATACTGTACATATTGTCCCTCTATGGTGAATGTGAACATATTATTAGAAAAGCAGTATTGGAAGAGATGATAATTGGAAATCTATAGGAGACTAAACCACTAACAATCTGAGAAATGCAGATTACACCAGAAGCAAAAATTAAGAAGGATTTAAAGAGTGAATATAGAAAGTGAAAAATGTGAGTTAAGGAAATAAAGTCAGCTACCACAGTTAGTTAACTTAAACAATGCAGAAACAGAGGTGATCATTTTGTTTTCCTGGGCTCAAGAAGCAGAATGTGCTGGAGAAGCAAAGAAAAGATTAATCTTAGGAGGAAGCAATAACAAACTTAGGTTTACAAAGGATTAAGGACATTTTTATAACAACAGAGATCACAATAGTTAAAGCAAAGGTCTTCCCAGAGGATGGAAAGCATGGCTGTGAATGCTGGACATTGACAAAGAGCAAGAGAAAGAAGAGAGCATATCTGAATTATGAGTCAGGAGACTGATACTAAGAGTACCAGGGACAGCAAGAAGAACCAGTTGATCAGCCCTGGACCAAATAAAGACTGGCTGCTCCCTTCGTGCCATGATCAACAAACAGAAGCTTACAAACTTCTGTGCATTTGAAGCAAGCGAATGATGAAGTAGAGTCATAAATGTATTAATGAAATATTGAAAAATTAATCTATGATGCGTGCAAGTTCCCTATTTCTCTTG